TCTCAAGATGACTTCTCTGCTTAATATTTGAAAAATTGACTTCAAAATTGTCTCTCAAGATGACTTCTATGATGAATGGATGATTGTATTAACTATTAACTCTTCTTGAGCTTGACTTCAAAACTCTTTAATCTTCATGGAGACATGGACTTTTGGTTTGTAGTATCACTATTTTGTACCTTTAAAATTTGTGGTTGCAAATTTGTGCTCATGGTTATTGATTGTTAAATGTTTTATGAAGCTAGTTTCTAGTTTCTATTAGGGGATAGTGGATACAGAATCTGCGACAACTAATATTTTTAGAGTTAATCATTAAACTAAAATACCTACTATCATATATATCACCTCTATATTTTTTTCTATTACATATACCTATTTTTTTAGATTTTTTTTATATTTATTGACCGCATCGTCGCGATGCACTCGCATTCAGACTGCATAGAGCCGCATCGGCCCCCCCACCGCTTTTGGCCGCATCTCGCATTTTAAAATAGTACTATCTTCAACAGTTCAACATTCTTTCCAACCATTTCTAAGGATCATATGGTTGTTTGAAAAAGTGACGTTGTATATCTTAATCACAATATACTTCAAATATAGAAAGAAACCAAATTTCTCATCGATCAACTGGCACAAGATGAAATGTGCACCGATTAGACGCTAATTAGTATTGAAACCTAAACTTGAAATGGCATTTGCTTACTACAAAATGTTACCCAGACGAGTTCAACAAAACCAATATGTTAGAATTAAGGTGTAACTAGGAAAGGATTTATTACAAAATGCAAGGTAGAACCTCAAGGTTGCACCAGTTCTCTGAAATATAGCTCAGGCAAGATACTCAGCACCTGCCAGAGCTGAGTCACTCGGGAGTCCACCTTAAACCCTAAATCCAAGAAACACACACACGCACGCACGCACGCACACACGCACGCACGCACGCACGCACACACACACACACACACACACACACACACACACACACACACACACACACCAACCACATATCACATGGAATAGCAATAGATTGATGTTATTGGCTTGAAAAAGTTAGAAAAAAGGGGAGTTTCAAACTATACAACAAAAAAAAAAAAAGTACAAAAAAACATGAATGTGCATAGGAAATGAATTATAAATCAATTTCAGTAAAAGCATTTATCAAATTTATGAATTTTAAATTGACAAAGTGAAAGATATCCAAAATTTCGAGGTCGATCCTCCATGCTTCATGCTCAATGTGAATTGATGCCTCCAGTCCTTATCAAGCTTTGTCAGACCCAATTCAAGAACCTCAAATCAATTTCGGGTTTGGTTTCCGATCTAGGAGATAGGAGCTCTTGAAAAGTTCACATTACTACTAAATTTGAATTTCAAATCTGTAAAATACGGTTCATTTTTTTAGAAATCAAGGCAATGGTTGGATCAAGAACACAAAAAGAGCCTTAGGGATCAATTTTTGTTGAATATTGACCACCGATTGGGAAGAAATTACAAATTTAACAAAGAAATTGGCCGATTCTTTCAATAAAAAAAATCTCTCAAATCCGGTGTTCTTCCTCAAATTCTTTATTTGTAACAACGACATCAGAATAAAATCCTAGCTAGCATGGAATATTGGCTCATATCTGCAACCCAAGGTTCTAAATCAAATAAATGAAGGAAAAAGGAGGGAAGATTTCAGTCCTCCTTTTAACTTATCTGTGATAAGTGATCGTGCCCAAGTTGCTCAATACTCGGGTGAGAGTTGCTACAGTACTCACAAGTACTGTATAGGCAATGAACATGGTACATTATGTACCGTGTTCCGGACATGGGACCTTGCTGAGTCCTAGCGACTCACCTGAGTGCGAGTCAACTAGGTTAAGGTTTAGAATACTGGGTTACACAGATGCACTAGGGTGCAAGTAAATGAAGCACAAGGGGGAGTAGGAATTCCAATAAGAGATTTTCAGGGGCCAACTATCATTACAAGATGTACTGGCGTACCATTTAGTTGAATGGATAACCCTTGATTTCGGGGAAATTAGGACATTTTGGAAAAGTCCAGGACAGACCGCAAATGTTCATATTGCCGATCATGTACATGTATTGTTAGCTAATGAGTGTCAAAGAGCTTGTTTAGAGCTAGAGACTTATAGGCTGCCTTAGACTCACTGCACAATTTGTGCTATGTTATTCTCTTAGTTAATATAACTGACATATCAAGCATTTTTAATGCTACCTACTGGTTTTATATATTGTGTTGTAGAATGGATAAAACCTGCTATTCAGTTTTGGTCAAGACTTCGAAAACCAACAATTGAATCTAGGGCTTCACACAAGCACAAAAAAAGAAAGGTGATGAATTGTTTAGATCAATTTTCAAGGGAAACTTATCTTCAAAAAAAAATTTCAATGGAAACTTTGTTTTTGGTTGATGAAGGCTGGCAAACGTAATATATAGAAGTTCTACCCAAAAGAGACAACCATTGGAAAATAAGGGCATTGAACCTGCGTGCTTTTCTTTCGAGGCTAAAACCCCTAAAATTGAATTATCAAAAGGAAAAGTCCCCATTTTTAATGTAAGAAAAGAAGCATCCTTTGTTGTCCTATTGTTATTGGTTCATGGAGCAAAAAAGAATATAGCCATGCCCTACAAGTTTGGCCCCTTGTAGCCAAGACTGGTTGAAGGCAATATGGGCCATGATAGGGATAGCCGGGGAGGCAGGAGTGGGCTACACAAACTAGGTTCCCAGAAGTTTGGATGATGCTTGCTCTCTAGAGGCAAATGTAAAATCCTGATTCGAGTCATGGTGGGGGTGATGCGGGACGATTAATTATACACCAATGTTGGGTGCAATGTGAAAGCTTCGCAAAACTGGGTTTGGCTACCTTAGCTTCCAACCCAAAAAACTGACTAGTGGAAGTAACCGTTAGGGGACCAAGCCAACATTGAGAAGGGTTGAGCAATATGGAAATAAAGGAGCTGGGTATGTGATTGGTCATCTAGATGAGGAGACTAACTGCGAGAGCGAAATAAGAGTTTGTTTAGAGCCTTGGGAAGCAAAGCTCAAAGAACTAAAATATGAGACCTTGAGGGGTGCTTGACTACCCTTCATAAGGTCCTCACAACCATCATCTCAAAGTTGTGTGGTGCATGCCCCCAAAATATGCTTAATGTGTTGTAAAGAGGCAAAGAGGTGGTGGAGGTCTTCTGCATTATCCCCAAGCATACAAGACGTTACATGATGCAAGAGGTAAGAAAAGCTCAAGCCAGTGAGGTATAACATCAGTGTTTCAAGGGATTAAGGTAGAAGGCAGCTACGGAACAAGGTTTGGCATCAGGATCAAAATTACTTAGTGGATTTGTTACTGTAAGCTCAGTTCTTGATGTTACATGCATGATCAATGAAGTTAATGATAATGCAGATTCCCAAACACCTGAGGGTTTTGAAATGGTAATTCTATCCATAGGATGTAATTTGCTCTTTCAATGACTGCTGCCCCCATATGTATCAGTTGGTTGCATCTCCAATGAAACTTGACATGCAACTTGTAATCTAAAAATGATGAAGCTGTTGGACCACTCGAGTTACCAACTTGAAATCATCAGAACAATTGGAAGTCTTTACAAGTTGATTCAAGAGGTACCTCACCAAGACCTGGCGATGTCATAAGACAGCCAACTAAGTTTTAGTCGTTCATATTTTTTTTTTGCTTTTATGTTTTCAAGACTCACCCATGTCAATTTAGACTTAGCGGCGATATGTCTTGTGTGTCAATCTATGATACAAACACAGATAGAACATCAGAATGATATGGTGGGTGGATCCTAGTCTACATGCAGATTGAAATAATCCAAGACAGGGATGTTATTTATAGCAATTTTTTTGGTGAAAGATATTTAACTTGGTCATCTACTCTTGTGCAGAAAATGTCAATTGAAGATTGATCGTTAGACAAATCTAGTTGGCCAATCCTCGAGTTTGACACTGTAAAAGAGGAAGTATCAAATCTAGATTGCAAACAATGGAAGTGTTAACCCAAGCACCAATAATAATATTATTCCAAATTCTTTCACAAAACTACTTGATCGACAACCTTCTTGCAGAGCAAATGGGGAATGTCACAAAGTAGCAACTTGTTCAGGTGCGGAATTCTTTATCAAGAGAACACGAAAGAGAAATTGAAAAAAGAAAAAACAACAAGAAGATACATGCAAGGAAGTAATAAGGGTTATCCATATCTATTTGAAGAAAATTCATACAAGGATTTTGAACATAAAGATAAATGATTGAAATTAGAAGATTAAGAGCATATATCATCATGGAGCCCTTAAACAAACACCTTCCAAAATTTTAATAATTAGCATAATACATCTCACAAATTCAAACCGAATGCAATTAGACAAAGCAATTATGTGCCATTAGTAATCATTGATAAGAAAAAGAAAAATGTGATCAGTTTGACAGAAAATACAAATGTAATTCACAACGAGGGGAACATGTGGTAATCAAATCAAACCTAGAATTTCAGATATAGGATTTCCTTTTTCTTTTCTTTTTATTAATGGTGAAATCAATAGGAATCTTAATTTATTTGCAATATGGTTATCTTTAAATCCTATTTTACCACATGTTTCGAGAGAGTTTCCAACAGAATTAGAATAAGAATTTGTTCCTTATTTGTGATCTTTTACCTATATGTTTTGCAACCAAATGGTGCTACCAAGCTTTGCTGAGGATATCAAATCATTTCTTGAATATATTAGCCATTTAAAAGATGCTAGCTATGTTATATATGTTAATCAAATTTCGTTTGGTGATTATCAAAAAAGAAAATGTTTAGCTAACATACTAAATGTTATTCAAATTTTCTTTTGCTAACATGTTAGTCAAATTTCTAGATGTACACAAATTCTATGATTGAGAGTCATTGTGTATATTTTTAAAATGCTAGAGAAAGGAAAGGAAGAAAAAGACCTAAACAGTCCATTGCAAGAATAGAATAATGATACTGACCTTGAAACACAATCTGGGCTTGTTTTTTTCTTTCAGTCTCTCAAGCAAGGCAAGCCAATCAATTCGGGCCGGCTCTAAAAGCTCTTCCCATTCAACCAATAACTGATATGGATCCTCATCATCCGACAAAGAAAGCATTTTGTCCATAACAAGCTTGCATTTTCCCTCTATCTCCTTAGTCTCTTGTGGAGCAATCAATTTTTCCGCATCTTCAAGCCTCTCAGCCACTTCTCTCCACTTGGGTCCCGATAAATCGAGGCCATATATCTTATACTGGATCTTTCCTTTCCTCTTTGGAAGAACAAAGGATTGAGTTTCTTCACCAACAGCATTTTCTCCCTCAACTCTCTCTCCCTCCTCACTCTGCAAACTTCCATCTTTTGATGAAGCAACATCCTCATCAGACAAGGCGTTTTCTTCTTCTCTCATTTGTTCCAAGCCCCTATAAAACTCAGTTTCAGCCATCTTTTCTTGCGCCCATTTGAGCCTGAGCTCTTTGAGCATATCACCACGAATCCCCACCTCTTGAGCAAACTTGCACATCTCTTTCACCTCTTCACACTGTAAATGCTTCTTCAATTCCTCTCGCTTTCTCATCTTTCTCATGTCTTCCACGATGAAATTGCAGACCTCCCAAACTGCTCGCCACAACTCCTGGCTAAAATCCTGAAACTGGGTTTCCTTCACCAAGTTCAGCATATCATTTATCGAGCCCTTCTCCATCTCTAAAACCACTTTCTGGACTATAACAGCAAGCATTCCATCAATGGTTTCTTTGTTACAGTTGGGGTAAGCTTCAGAAACCTTGCTTCTCATGATATAGACAAACCTTGACAAGAACTCATTCATGGGTCCATCCTGGTCTTCTTCTTCTCTCTCTTCTTGTCGAGAGATTTGAAGAGAGTTGAGATGCCTTGAGTTTGGGGTATAGAGAGAGAATGCAAATGAGAGATTGTTCGTTTTTTTGAGGTGAGGAAGAGTGAAGGGGGCATTGGCAGTAGGTGTTGAGTGATATGGAGAGGAATGGGTCAGATTGAGAAGGGCGAGAGAGGTGATTCTCTGCTTTAGGTGAGTTATTGCTTGTTTGGAGAATAAAGGCTTCATTGTTGTAGAGATTTGATTGAGAGAGAGAGAGAGAGAGAAAGAGAGAGAGCGACAGAGACAGAGATTACATGTAAAACGTTTCACCGATGTCGTCAAGAATTTGGATCCAAAAGACTGTTGTGAAGAGAAAGTAGACTGAGAACAGCAGAGCAGGAGAGAGAGACCTTAGACCCCTGAGATGGTGTTAGGTAGCAGTTGATAACTTTCACTACAATGTCCCTGAGAATCGCCCCTGCTACTGACTTTCATAGATTCTGGGATGCAAGTGAAATTTGGTAGGGAGCTGGAAACCCTGTTTGACAAACTGTGGTGCTGGTAATTTCACCTGTTTGGCAATGGGAAAGCTAGAAACCACCTGTAACATTGTTCATAATGTATTTCATTGATATAATGTGTGAAATGCAGTTTTTTAAAGACATTTTGTAATTAAACAAGGGTCCTTCCATTCATCCAACATATTACCAAACATGTAAATAGATTCAAGGAATACCAATATTTACATAAATATTGAAAAAATTTGATTTTCTTAATATCAAAATTTCACTCAATACACAAGCATCCCTCAAGAGCAAACATATATCATTTATTTAAGAAATAAATATTTAAAAGTTTGAAAGCGAACCATTCAATATCGCCACCACACCATACAAAACTATTGATTACTGATTCAGGCAATAGACTTCATCAATAAGCATTGATCCATGCACGAAAAATTCCAATTGGAAATGTGACATGAAATGCAAGGGAAATAGAGCTACCAAGAAGGGTTCCAGATGTCCATTTCATTGGAAGCAAAATCAAGCACTAGTTCTTAAATACACAGCCATGGCACTCTTCTCCTTTATAGCCAGGTTCCAAATGTCCATTTCATTGGAAGCTAATATTTCTAATAGAGTATTGCCACAATTTGCAGAATAACGAAGAAAACCTTCGCAATAACTCAGTAATAATTTTCTAAAAGGCATTGAAAAAGTTGATGGATGAAGTGAACTGTCATCCAAACGACATCCGGGCAGCTTCTCAAATAAGGATGTGGTATGGATTAGTTAAACAAAAATACAAAAAAATGGCAAACAACTCCCAAACCCCATAACCATGAGGCACTAGATACTCAAAACAATTGGCTAGAAGTGTAATACAACAGTGATGCAAGGAACACAGTCTATTTGTATAGAATGTTATCAAGCCATAAAAAAAAATGGAAGTTCAGTAAACCGGTAAAAAAAAATGGTGCACTTGACCATTAATGTGAGAAGAGAAAGACTACATTATGAATACCAAGGTGGAGAAAGGGAGATTATTCAATGACTATTGAACCCCAAAAACTAGTAAAAGACAGAGAGAAAATGTGAGACAGAGAGAGCCCAATTCTTCACTGTAATTTTTGCAATAATGAACATATAGAGAGATTGCAGTAATGAAGAAGCCTAAGAAAACCCTAAAAAAAATACTGGTGCTACTCCTTCATTGCAATTTTGTCAAAACCTTAAGTAAAGATCTACAAATAATGGTGTAGATACACCATGGAATTAAACCATAATTTACAGGTCCATTCATTAGCAAATGAAGAAGTGTGTTAGCACATTTATCACACCATAACAAATAAAGAGCACAAAACATTTCAAGATTAACTGAGAAAAAAAAATAAACTAAATACAGAAAAAAAAAAAAAAAAAAAAAAATCACCTTTCTATATTTGAGAATTATTAGAAGGTGATTGTTTTTAGGCAAAAAAAAAACGGTACAAATATCCATCAATGGTGATATTAGCTATTAAAAAAAAGAAACAGAGCAAAAAAACCCCAAATCATTAACTTGAATCCCTACATTGAGAATAACTAGGGAAAAAAAAAGAAAATAATAAAAATTAACAGTTAAAAGAAAATGAAAAACAGAAAAACTCAAATTTCGAGTTTTTCTGCTTAATAAACAGTAAAACAAGTTACTGACAAATGGATCCCTACATTAAGAAAAACAAAAAAAAAACATGAATACAAACTAACAGTTAACAAAAAATGAAAAAAAAAATTTAATACAAATTAAGTTAACAAATTGCGGGTTTATCTGCTTAATAAACAATGAAAAAGGTAAAATCTCAGTAATTTTTGCGGATTATCTTCTTCGTGATGCTTTTCAGCACCAGTAGAGTTTTATGGAGCGAGTGGGTTTTTTTTCCTTCAAGAAGTTTAGGGTTTAAAAAGAACGGGCGTCTGTGCATTTTAGGGGAGTTCTGACATTCACTAAGGTAGCATTTGATAACTTTCACTACAGTCTCCCTGGGAATCACCCCTGGAGATTTCACAAAAGTGTAAAGCCCCTCTAATGCTACCAAGTGTACTTAAATAAGGTTCCTTGCATTCTCCTGTTTATTTGACACTGGAGAGTGGTATCAAATATACAATACTTCAATCTAGCTTGCTCGCATTTGTGTATCCTGACCAATAGTTAGCAAATCACCGTTTAATCGGCGATTTTTTCAAATAATCGGCATTTTTATGGAAACAGTTTTAAAAATCGCATAGTTTTCATAAAAACATTTAAAACGCGCTTTTTTCAATTTAAATCAGGTCAAAAAATCGTATCTTGTTTTACCTATAATTTTTTTTGAAAGATCAATTTTTTTTTTTCTTTTTTTGTGTATTGCAGCCAATGCTACTTTCATACTTTTGAAAAAAAATTTATTTAAAAAAAAAAAGCTAAAATGGAAATTTTTATCCCCACTATTCTTCAAAGCCACAGTGGCAGATTGAAGGTATGAATTTGTTTTTCCCTTTTTTTTTAAACTCAAACAAATAGATGCAGATTTCAGTTGTTTTATGGAAAATCATTGCTGTTTTATAGCAAATCATTTTGTGAAGTAAATCATTGTGTAAAGAAATAAGAGCTCAAAACAAAGTCTTTCACTGATGAATGAGAAGCAGAAAATGTGACTACAGGACCAAGTAATAAATATTTTGTTTTTGATTATGTGATAACAAAGATAAACGATATATTGAAAACTGTAAACTTACAGGATCAAGCAATTGTACATATAGGATTAGTTCCTCAAACCTAATCCTTCAGCTCCGCTTGTTGTTTCCCGAAAAAAATGAAAAACCCTCTTCCTTTTCAACCTCTAAAAATCAGTTAGCTCCTCTTCAGAAATCAGTATAGTTGGGGCTTTCTCTCAAACAACATCCCAAATCAGAGAGAAAAACCCTCTTCAAACTATATCCCAAATCAGCATCCCATCTTCCTTTTCTCTCTAAAAATTCTCTCTCTAAAAATCAGTTAGGGCCTCTTCCATTAGGGTTTGTGCAGCTGATGACCTCTTCCTTCTTCCTTCTTCCTTCTTCCTTCTTCCTTCTTCCCTCTATAAACCCTAATGGCTCTGAGCCCGGCCCTATTTTCTTCTTTTCCTTCTTCCTTCCTCTCTCTAAACCGCTCTCTCTAAACCGTAAACAGAGATGTGAAACCCATGGGTACATACCCAGCCCTATTTTCTTCCTTCTTCTCTCTCTAAACTGTACAGCCCTGTTTTCTTCCTTCTCCCAAATTTCTACGAGCTTTTTTTCGATTAAGAAATTTATAAAACTTTAACCATAGTTATGAAGTGATTATAATTAAATCACTGCAATGAGAAAATAAAAATCGTGTTTTTTTAATACCTCCTAAATAAGTGTTATGTTTAAATATATTTATATATATTTTAGTTAATTACGTATTTATTTGCTTAATTATATTAGTCTAGTAAGTCTTTTATGGATAAATTATTTACTGATAGGTTTGACATAATTTTTACTTTTTAAAATTTCAAAATTTTTAATATTATAAATTTATTCGATTTTTTTATTCTGATTTTTTTAACTTAAATGGATATATTAACAATATCTTTATATGAAGTATTTTTGTTTTTTTATATTTTTTACCTAATTTTTTCATTCAACATTTTAAAATAAAAAATATTTATTTCAGATTTTATAGTAAACAGATTTATTGATAGTCTCCGACTTGCTAACTATGATCCTAACTGGTTCAGAATCCCACAAAATGTATATTGCTTTACAGTTGAATATAAATTATCAAAACAAAAAGCTAAAAAAAAAAAAATTCCCCTAGTCAACTCTTTCAAATTAAGAAGCGTGGCAAATGACAAGTGTTGTATAAAACTAAAGTTAGAAGACATGGATATCTCAAAGAATATCCTATTGCACATCTAATAGAACAAATACATAAAGGAATGAAATCATGACCGTGAAAGCTAATAAAATGAGATTCACATTTAAATATCCAATTCTCTTATGCAACTTAAACCAGATAAAATCTATGATGCCCCATTTCTAGGTGTAATTAACAAAAGTTTTAACTTGTTTAGCAATTATGCAATTAATTAAAGGTACATAAATACACCACCTTTAACAACAATCCCATTACAAGCCAGGAAAAAAAAAAATCAAAATCAGAATCCTAAGCTACTAAAACGAAATCCAGAAAGAACTGCAATCTAAAAAATTTAAAGCAAATAATCAATAAATTTCAATAAATAAGAGCACAAAGACCTAACTTTTTTGCCAAAATAAAAACCCTAGTCCCAACCATGAAAACCCAGAGGTAGAGGTCAAGATGTATACGAGTATTTGAGGGCAATTATGAATTAGAGTAGTGAAGAAGTTATGGTGTGTAACATATGTCATCCATACCACTTTTAAAAAAGGAACGACAGTTCTTGAAAATGCTACCTTTTTTAGAGTTTTTTGCTATGAGAATATGAACCAAACCCTATTTTCTCTTCAAATAGATAGAGAGGCGGGAGTGAGAAATTGGGAAAATATAGGCTTACGTGAGGGTTGGGCTCCTTGTTTACCATCGGTGGGAAGGGAGAAAAGAGACCAACTATAGAGAGAAGAAGATTTTGTACCTGAACCAGCGGTGTGAGAGAGGAGGGCATGGGTGGAGGAGTGGCGGTGGAGATGGGAAGCTCAAAAAGGGACGGAGAAATGGGAGAGCAGCGCTAGGGATTTTGGGGGTGAAAGTCGGGAATGTTTTTGGGGTAAAAGTTGCCGCTCACCCCAACCCAACACAAGGGTGGAGTTCTACATGTACAAGTACGGGCGCTCTTTGGGTACCCCAATTGTGAGAAAAAGGCATATAAATCGACGTAAACCGTCGAATGTATATTATACGTCTAGTCCCTCACTTGAAGCACTGATAAAACAACACAATAACATAAATTTATTTTTTTAAGTTAATAAAAAATTAGCTATTAATTATATTTTAAAAAGATATCAAATATTTTATTGGTATGTAAAAATACACAAATCAACAGGTTACTGGTCGGTACACAAACCAGTAGGACCGCGTAGGAAAAAGTCATTACCACTAGCTCTAAGATAACTTTTGACAAAAAAAAAAAATTTGACACTTACGATGAGGCTTTCAATAGTTAAATTCCATTTTCCAAAAAAAAAAATCACAGTGGATCCTTTTTAGATAGTGAAAATCCATTATCTTAAAAACATAAAGTGAATACCAAAATTTTAAATAAAATTATAGGAAAAATTGTAGATACTTCCCAAATTTGAACTTTCTAAACAACCTCCCTCAAACTAAACTTTTTTTAGCAACTCTTACCCCAAGTCATATTTGTCTAGCAAATACCCCTCAAAGGCAAAAAGTTGTATTCTTTTAGATGAAAATACCCTTTCCTTTATTGGTTTTTGTCAAACATTGACGTGGACTGCCAAGCTGGAGTTTCAAACCACATGTTGGACCGCGAGAACCATTCACCGGATCGCCCTTTACAAAGTGTCAGATCGAAGATAATCTAGAACCCATAAATAAATTGCCGAATCCCCTATGTCAGACCGCATAAACAAATTGTCAGATCGGCTTTATAAGCTATCGGACCGTGGACAAAACCTTTCGGACTAGCTTTACAAGTAGTCGGACCACGAATAAAACCTGTCAGATAGCTATTAAATATTGTTAGACCGCTAAAAGAGGTTGTCGGTAGGAAAGAGGAGAGAGATGCGTTTTAACTTAAAGAAGGGTATTTTGATTTTTTTTTTACTTGGGTGGTATTTGCTAGAAAAGAATGTTTTAGGGTAAAAGTTGCGAAAAAAAGTTTAGTCGAGGGAGGTTGTCTAGAAAGTTCAAATTGGGATATCTGCAATTTTCAAAACAAAAATATTTAAGCAGTTCTTTTACGAGAGGAGTGATCATGTACATGTTTCTCCTTTATCAATAATTCTATTATGCAGCCAAACATTCACCAAGAATTTGCAAAAATTTATGCATTTCATTCAATTCCAAGCCGTTTGGCCTATGGGTGCGGACAATGGGAGGGAGGACTCTCTCGATATTACCATCTCAATATTACCATGAATGACAATAAAGTTAGTAATTGAATTGGATGCATAATCTCGACAATAATAATTAAGGGTGCCGTTTGTATAGAGCCGAGACTCTAAACAATCAAATTAGAGCCCACCTTCAAATAGTGTAGAGAAATGTGGTTTCAATATTGGAAATCTTTGACTAGCCTTAAAATATATTTCCATCTTTAATTATAAAATTGAAAAATTAAAAAATACTGTATATCGAGCAGATCTATGAGAATTTGAATATCTTAAAAACTGATGGTCCAAAAATGCGTTACAAGATGCACTATTTCCAAAACTTGAAATCCATTTTTTTTCCCAAGTCCATGCATCTTGATATCGAGATGATTAATTTGAGGATATTTGGACATTAAAACAACATCTTCTAGTGAAAAATTTGAGGTAGGTTCTAATTTGATTGTTTAGAGCCTAGGCTCTATATAAATTTTTCCCAATAACTAAAGGGAAAAGTTATATAGAGCCTAGGATCTAAACAATCAAATTAGAGCCTACCTCAAAACTGTCACTAGAAAATGTCGTTTTGAATCCCAAATATCATCAAATTGATTATCTCGACATCAATATGTACTGACATGAAAAAAAAATGGATTTCAAGTTTTGGAAATAATGTATCTTGTAACGCATTTTTGGACCGTCAATTTTCAAAATTTTAAGTTTTCATAGATCTTCTTGATCTAAACTATTTATGAAGTTTCAAATTTTATAACTAAAGATGAAAATATAATTTGAGACCATCACAAAACTTTCTAGTATTGAAACATATCTCTCGGCCCTATTTAAAGGTGGGCTCTAATTTGATTGTTTAGAGCCTCGACTCTATATAAACCACACCCATAATTAAATTAGATGCATAATCTTGACAATAACTTGTTACGTCTGGCTTTTAAAAAATGACCAATATATTTATAGGATCAGCGTAATTCTTTCTTTAATATTGATGTTTCACTAATTTCCTAAAAGGAGCACTTTATCAAAAAGAAATTTGTAATTCATGATAAAACAACAAATCCAATATAAGTAAAATCCATAGTATTTATATTATATTATCAACATCAACCACAGGAACCTCTTCATCCGACTACAATTTCCTAACCCTTTGCTAAGATGGCCATGGACATCATAGGTCTAGCGGACCTAGCCTCGTTAGCCAACCATTCCTTCATCTCGGCGGCCACATATTATTTTTCCAAGTGGCTTGAGGTAATTCGCTTGAGAAGTGTGATTGGGAAGGTGGTAACCAATTTTATTCAGATTGACATCATATTTCAATATGGGGAGTTGGATTTGATCATCCTGACAATGTGTCCCCATTTAAGAATCAACATGTTACCAAGCTTCAGCAAGAATTCCATCTAACATGAAAATATTCTCCCATTTATTACTTTCAAGCTAATGGTCTAGCTGAAGCTTTCAATGAGACCTTGTGCAATGCATTACGAAAAGCATTTTCTAATACGAAAAGACATTGGCATGAAAAACTACCCAAAGTATTAGGGGCCTATAGGACCGTAATAGGGGGAGCTACCCGTGCTACCCCCTATGCCCACATTTATGCTAGAGAGGTAGTCCTTCCCCTAAAAGTATAAATATCCTCTTTATGCATGGCAATGTATGACAATATGTGTGAAGAGGATACGCCTAAAGGTTTTTAAAAGAGTTTGAAAGGGTAGATGATAAATGACTTCATGCTCAACAAAACAAAGAAATCTACCAAGTAAGAATAAACAAAGTGAGCAATAAAAAAGTAAAAAATGGATCATTCAAGCAAGGTGATATTATTCTCACTGTAAGATATCCCATTATATATTCCAGGAAACCATGTGTGAAATTTGAACCAAAGTAGAAAGGGCCATT